CCGGGCTGGATTCAAACCCGCCACCTTAGGTGTATGTGGCTGGTGCCTTAGCCACTTGAGCCACAGGAGCCGAGCCATTTTTTCTTTTTTTAAAAGATGGAGTCTGATTCTTACACAGGTTAATCTTGAACTCCTGAGCTCAAGCAATCCACCTGCCTTGGTGTCCCAGAGTGTTTGGATTACAGGTGTGAGTCACCAGGCCCAGCTCTCTCAGAGGTTGTAAGGAAGGGAGTGAGTGATATAATCAGGTTTGCAGCTTTAAAGCGTTCAAGTCCCATGTGGAAATATGGCATGTTTGTCTCATTTATGACTGAACCCCCAGCTTCTAGTGCAGAGATTAGGGAAACTCCTTGCTGACCCTGAGGCTTCTAGATTCTGGCTCACTTTTGGGAGTAGAGCAGAGGAATACTTAGGAAGGACTGGAGTTAGACCCAGGTCTGGGAGCACCTGCCTTCTTCCCGCCGCCACACCCTTTTGTGACCCAATGGAGTCAAGTGTTCCTGGGTTTGAACACTAGGCAAATAATTTATCTTAAGTGTTGTGAACATTAAACCATAACTGCAGCTACCTGAGAGGGCCAAAAGGGGACAGAGACGAGGGGGTGGCTAGGAAGAGACTTTGGTTTTTTGTTTTTTGTTTTTTTTTGGAAACAGAGTCTCACTCTGTCGCCCTGGGTAGAGTGCGGTGGCCTCACAGCTCACAGCAACATCCAACTCTTGGGCTCAAGCGATTCTCCTGCCTCAGCCTCTCGAGCAGCTGGGACTACAGGCATGTGCTACCTTGTCCCGCTAGTTTTTCTATTTTTAGTAGAGATGGGGGTCTCGCTCTTGCTCTGGCTGGTCTTCAACTCTAGGACGAGGGACTTAAATTAAAAAGCCCATTTTTCCCTCTGCTTTCTAAGGGTTTAACTGTTAAACCCCTTACCCCTAACTATTAACAGAATAGGGGAGTGGGGGAGTAATCTGTTACCTGGAGAAAGGTTCCCCAGGGGTGGGGCAGGGCACTGTGCTCCCATAGGGGTTAGGAACCGTGAGTGGAATGGGCTGGAGGTGGAGGTGCATTTCTGCACCTCTCAGGATCAGAGCCCGGGAGGCAGCGGTTGAGAAAGTCCACAGCGCTGGCACTTTTGGGTGTGTGGGCAGGGATTTACGAATATGCCCACACACCCCACCCCCCTCGCGCTCTTCAGAAGGGACGTGCTCCATCGCCACCCTCCTACACTTTCCCCCAGTCACCAATCCCACCTTGGCTGGCGCTCCGGGAGCCTCCAGGGCAGCGGAAGGCGTGGCCACAAGCGACCCGCCCCTTTGATGTGAGCCGGCGCCGCGGTGATTGGATGGTCGCTTGTGACGTATGGGGACTGCGGTGGGCCAGGCTGCTGCAGCAGCCGCAGCGCCGGCCGCCGCTCCGGCTCCGGCTGCCGGGCATTTAAAGGGGACGCGGCGGTGGCCCGGGGGGATGGGGGGCAGGTGGAGGGGACGGCCCAGACGCACATCATCCACAGTCCCTCGGGACTGGAGGGACTCGTGAGCCGGAGCCCAGAAACCCGGGGGTGGATAAGACACCGCGTCCCCTCCAAATCCCGTAAGCACCCCTTGCTCCATCCTGCGCCCAAATACCTCAGCTAGCCCCTGTCCCCATTCCTTACACTGCAAACTCAGCCGGGACAAACCTCTGCCGCCGTCGCCCCCACGTGAGTTCTGGGCTCTGGGAGGTAGGGGAGGGCTGGGGTCCCAGCTCGGGGTGGGGGCTGCGTGGAGTTTGAAGGCGCTCCTCCACGCGCGGGGCAGTGGGAGAGTCCTGGAACAGAAGAGTGAGTCCCCTTCTCTCTCCCAACCCAGGAACGTGGTGATTGGGTATCCCTCCGTCCCTGACTCCGGCAAAACCAAGGGATCGGTGCCCCCTTGCTCCCCGCCACCCACAAGTCCTCTCCCCAAGCTGCTCACCCCCCGCCCGCATTGGAGCAAAAAGCGCCCGCCAGCTGGGGGTGTGCCAGAGTGCCGGCTTTCCAGTCACCTCTAAAAATATCTCTCCCCCCACCCCATCAGCAGCTGCCACCTCCCTGCCCCTGCCCAGTGAGGATCCCCTCCCAGCTTGTCTGCCCAGGCAGGGAGAGCCCAGAGGTGACTCCTAGTTCCAAATGCCTCACTGGCACCAGGGCACCAGGTCATCGCCACCAGGCTATCAGGACTGCTAGCTCACGGCCCAAGGGAGTGTCCAGAGCAATAGGGGAACTCCAGCTGCAGTTTACCCAAGAGACAGAAGAGACTCCCAGTTCTAATCCTCGTTCTGAAGCTGTGTGACTCATAGGATGTTAGCTTGACTTCTCTGGGTGTCCTTTTTTGCTATTTGCTACCGGGGGGTGGTGAGCGAGAAAGGTGGTCAAGCTGGGGTACATGCTGTAGAGGAGAAGGAGAGAATTCCAGCTTAGTTGTTGGGTTTGATTTCTAGTGACTGATAATGATGAGATTTGTTCTTGGACAGAGAGGGCTTGTTACTGTGGTATTTCTGGGGTCCCCATGCCCCCATCCTCATCCTGCACATTTCTGGTGGAAAACTGTTCCGAAACTTTCCTTGGTGTTCCATCCATTCATTAAGAGGAGAACTTCAAACTCAGGACTTATGTCAGTAAGAGGCCTGTTTCCCTCCTACCCCATTCCCACAGATTTAATCTAAGGGCATTTGTGTAAAAGGTGGGTGGAAGAAGGCAGGAATCCAGAGAGGTAGGCACTGCTTTTAGATGGGACTGGAATATGAACTCTCTGACACCGCCTAGAATCCTTTCTCTGCCTGCACTAGCCCGTGGGAGAAGTTCAGAGATACTGGCCCCCTTTTCTCTGAGGGACTCTGGTGACAACAAAAAGATTTGATCACTCAGGACAAAGCTCCCAGAGGTGAGAGACCATTTGAAACATCAGGGGAGCCAGATTCCACCTGGGGATAGGGTTCTTATGGCCCTGTTGGGTGGGCATCACAGCATGGCCTTAATTTCCAGTGGCAGAAACCTGCCAGGCCTGGCTTTCTACTCTGGATACTAAAAGTAACAAGGGCCACTCACCAAACAATAAGTATTTCACTGGGGTGGTGCCTGTGGCTCAAAGGAGTAGGACACTGGCCCCATATGCCAGAGGCGGAGGGTTCAAACCCAGCCCCGGCCTAAAACTGCAAATAATAATAATAAGAAGTATTTAACTTCTTTCCCTAAATGCCTATTATTATTAAATAACAGGAAAATGTAATTGTTTTTACAATGAGAAATTAGAAGTTTTGAGCATAAGGACCAAGAGAAACGTTTTTTCCTTAAAAAATAAAATAAAAGGAAGAGAAAGGAAACAAGGCAAAATACTGAGACCCTTTTCTGTGAGTTGAAAGTTGGTCTTTGGGCTGCTGATGATCCTTTTCTATCTTTGTATCTGCCCCTTGCTTCTCCCACAAAACACGTGCCTGTCCGCGTTTGCTTTTACCATGATAGTGGCATCCCCTGACCTTTCTCCTTTGATATCCCTGGCTGGGGTTTCAACCTGTGGACAGCCAGGATTCTAGAAGGTTGGAACTTCAGGATAGGGAATGGGAAGGGTCATTCTCTTGTCCCTAGTGCCTCCCTCCCTCTATCCCACCTTCTTCTTTCACCCCCTCCCTCTCTTTGCTCACCACTGCCCATCCAGCTTTGACCACCTCTCACCATTCCAGTATTAAAAGTTCTTAGGGAAAAAACAGACCCACATCCCACCCCCACTGAAGGGTTCAATGCCGGTGTGGTCAGGGAGGGGGCACTTCAAGATGGAGAATGGCAAAGTATGCACCCGGCTCCTGAGATGTTCCAGTCCTAGGGGCAACTGCTTCTCCCTACTCTCTTGGGACGGTCAGGGGAGTGTCACCTTGACAAAGTCAGAGGGGGTTGCAGTGTCACCCATTTTCACCACCAGAGGGCAGCAGTCAGCCATATCTTTGCTCCTTTCCTGGTCTGGTCTCCTGGATCTCAATGTCTTTCCCAGCTCTCTCTGGTCTCTCATTCAACCCCAGGGAGAGGGATGGAAGAGTAGGGAAGCACTAGAAGCTATGGGTGATATCTTTTGCAGCTGTCTTGGTAAAGGTCTCAAGAGGCCAAACCCAGTCCCCAAAGCTACCCAGCAAAGTCCAGCAACGATTTCAACCTCTCTTGTCTAACAGCTGGATCTCTGAAAGCACAGATCATCTGAGGGGACCTGGCCAAAGGCCTCGGCCCCCTATCTGTGGTATAGTAAGGCCTAGTCATTTGCCCCTCCCTCCCCCCTTTTGAGACAGAGTCTTACTTTGTCACCCTGGGACTGATTGCCATGGCATCATCACAGCTCACAGCAACCTCAAACTCTTGGGCTCAAGTGCTCCTCTTGCCTCAGCTTCCCAAGAAGCAGGGACTACAGGTGCCTGCCACGATCCCCAGCTAATTTTTCTATTTTAGTAGAGATGGACCACTTTTGCTCAAGCTGGTCTCGAACTCCTTAAGGTCAGGCAATCCACCTGCCTTGGCCTCCCAGAGTGCTAGGATTACAAGCATGAGCCACTATGCCTGGCCTGCACCTTTTCTTTTGAGGGCACAAAGAAGGCAAAGCAGTGGCCAAGTGTTCATCCAGGCTCTGCCCTATGTAAACAACATGGCAAGTTAACCTCTCTGAGCCCTTCTCATTTGCTGAATTCATGGCTCAGAGTGAGAGACTCTGAGTGAAGGTGATTTGTAAACTATGACGTACCATACACATGGAAGGGGCAATGGTCACACTAGGGGATAAAAAACACTAGTCTTAACTCTGAGACCAGGGTTGGAGATCTGTCCCACCACTTATAGTGGGTGATCTTTGGGCAAGTCAGTTAACCTCTCTGGGTCTCCAGTAACATCATCTGAAATCTCTCAGGGTTGTAGGAGATTGTTAAAAGGTTGCCTACCAAGGTGCTTTGTGGTGTGTAAGTGCTGGGCCTAAGTGAGGGGTTGGTTTTACTAAGTTCCTGGGAGTGGTTCTTGGGGCTGAGCAGAAGGGTCACCCTTGGTGGGTATTAGTAGTGGAAGCAAAGCCAGCTGACTGAGCAGCCTCAAACAAACTTTTGTGGTTGTCAGGAGCTTCTGAGGACAACTAAAGGCCAACGGAGTCCCTACAGGTGGTGCCCAAGGTGATGTACTGACAATGAGCGGGTGTTTTCCAGTTTCTGGCCTCCGATGCCTGTCTAGGGTAAGTGGGTCCCCCCAGGTGTCTCCTAAGATGAGCCCTCAGCCCTTCCACCCACCCCTTTTACGCTTGCCCTCACCTCTATTGGGGCATCATCAATCCCTGGAAGCTTCCATCCCAGGTGTGGGGCTCTGATGTTTTACATCCTCAACTCCAAGAATCCTGGGCCACTGAGACTCCCAGTTGGATGTTGGTGAGACCAGAGGGTTACTCTAGGGATGAAGCTGAAGGGACAGTTCTGTTAGGGAGACAGAGAGCCAAGTTCAAGACTCAGCTCTGAAGTGAAGAACTTGGACTTGTTCACGGGTGTGCCAGGCCATAAACGTCCCAGGAATATTTGAGAAGGGGTTAGAAAGAAACCAGAGGAGGAATGGCTCCACCTTTATTTATTGGGATGAGAGGTTGGGAGGGGGAAAGACCACATGGTGGATATCCAGAAGCTGCATGTGACCTGCTCACTTTGCCCCTCTCATGTGAGCACTGTCAGGCAAAGGTGGTGGGGCTTGCTGAGGGCTCCTGCTGACTCCATTTGCTTGCCTTTCTTTGTGCCCTGATACTTCCTCTGTTATCCCTCATCCTCTCCCATACTGCCCCCCACCTTCCCCTCTTCAACATGACCCTGTCCACTTCCTGGAGCCCCCCCCTACTCTGTATCCTGTCCAGCAGTGTGTCTCTAAGATCCCCTAGCGTGACTTCGTCCTAGCCCTGTACCATGTCCCCATTACCTGCTTGCTCCTCTACCTTTTCAGCCACTGCTGCTGTCTCTCCTCTCCCTTACCTGTCTCCCAGGTATATCGTGGCCTGGTGCGGGAGGCTCCCACCTTCCTAAACCCCACTGCTTCTCCTGCTGCCTGCTTGCTTCGGACTCTGGCAGAAACCCCACACGCTGACACGTTCCTCCCAGGGAATTGGCAAGTGATTAGTGATGAGCTGTCAGCACAGGGCCCTAAAAATCTCTGGAGAAGCTGTACCCCACCCCAGTACCCCTGCCCTTGCCCAGAGCTATCTGGCCGGAAGCAGCTCCCAGAGACCCTCCCTGAGTCTGGTGTGGTCAGTCCACCTGCTTTGTTATTCCAAGGGCTAAAATCCAGTTCTCTGGCCTGTGGAGAGGCCCAGGCACCTAAGCCTCTAAGGTTGGCACTTAGCTCACATCCAGGCCTCACTGTTCACATGCCTTGGATGATGCCAAAAAGTCCTCCCCAGAGTGGGCCTCCTTACTGTCTACCTCAATCTCCTGAGCTGTTGGCTCTTCAAGGTGAAAAAGGGGGATGAGGAAGCTATTCCAGTTGGATGAATGGGTGGTTTCCCTTGACCCTGTTAAAGAATGAGGGAGTGGAGAGTTCCTGCTGCCCCTCCCTTTATCCACACCTACAACAGAGGTCATTGTAATTACCTCTCCAAAACAGTAGTCCCCAAACCTCCCCAAAGCGTGATCTTACAAGCTGCTCTTCCTGTCTTTTAAACTAACTCTTATCATAAGATAAGCCCAGATGGGAGTAGCAGAAATAGAGAAGCCCTTCTGGGTTCAGGAGTAGGATGGTCCTCTAGGCATAACCCCCTGCCAGCACAGTTAACTGAGAGGTGCCAAGGGGATAGGCAGGGAAGGCTGGGGAGGGGAAGTGGCATCGGGTGCTCCTCCCGGCTTAATCATCCTTGGGTCCTCCTCAGGTCTTGGATGTGCCAGCACCCCTGGCCGTGGCCCGCTAACCAGCCTCTCCCGGGCCGGCTCCCCCCGCGCCCCCTCTCGCTTGCTCCCTCCTCCTCCTCCTGCTGTTCTCCCCCCTGCTCCCAGGACGGCGGGATGGCCTCGCAGGGCGCGCCTCGCTTCCTCCTGATCTTTGACTTCGATGAGACTATCGTGGACGAAAACAGCGACGACTCAATCGTGCGGGCTGCGCCCGGCCAGCAACTGCCCGAGAGCCTACGTGCCACCTACCGGGAGGGCTTCTACAACGAATACATGCAGCGAGTCTTCAAGTACCTGGGCGAGCAGGGAGTGCGGCCACGGGACCTGCGCGCAGTCTACGAAGCCATCCCCCTGTCGCCGGGCATGGGCGACCTGCTGCAGTTTGTGGCCAAGCAGGGTGCCTGCTTCGAGGTCATTCTCATCTCTGATGCCAACACCTTTGGTGTGGAGAGTGCGCTGCGTGCCTCTGGCCACCACGGCCTGTTCCGCCGTATCCTCAGCAACCCGTCAGGGCCAGACGCGCGGGGACTGCTGACGCTCCGGCCCTTCCACACACACAGCTGTGAGCGCTGTCCCGCCAACATGTGCAAGCACAAGGTGCTCAGCGACTACCTGCGCGAGCGGGCACACGACGGCGTGCACTTCGAGCGCCTCTTCTACGTGGGCGACGGCGCCAACGACTTCTGCCCCATGGGGCTGCTGGCGGGCGGCGACGTGGCCTTCCCGCGCCGGGGCTACCCCATGCACCGCCTCATCCAGGAGGCGCAGAAGGCCGAGCCCAGTTCCTTCCGCGCCAGCGTGGTGCCCTGGGAAACAGCCGCCGATGTGCGCCTCCACCTGCAACAGGTGCTGAAGACGTGCTGAGGACGGTCGCCTGCAGGGGGCGCCCCGGGCGAACGGGCAGGGAAGGGGGCGGGGAGGGGGGAAATGGGAAAGACAAACCTAGTTTTACTACTCCCTTTCCCTTTTCGCTTTGCTATGTCCCTCGGGGACTCTCTGGAATTTCGTCCATTTGGGGGCTGCGGGAGGGGGATTCGAAGCCGTCCCTATCTATGCAGTTAACCCGGTTCGGTTGCCTTCCCCAGTTTAGTTCCACTGCAAACAGTTAAATTCTGGAGTCTGGACCAACGCGGGGTGGTTTTACAAACCATGTCCTTCGAACTGGGAGGAAGGGGCTCCTGGCAGGTGAGAGAAGGAATATCTGCCACTGCTTTACCTGCTGCCCTTGGGCTGCGTGACCTCCCCTCCTCCAGTCTTCTGTAATGGGAACCCAGGATCCTGAAATACTCATGGCCAAAGGAGTCCCTGCCGACTACTCCAGGCCTCCATCTTACTTTACCCATCGTAACCCTCGCTATTTCTGTACTCGCTACACCTTCTTGCCTTCTGCCTTCCCCCACTCCCATTCCTCTAGCTCTCCCAAAGGAAAAAAGCCAGAGGGACCGGCCGCCTCCTGGTGGTGGAACGAGGTAACACACTGTCCAGCTCGGGTCCAGCCAGCCAGGGACCCAGCAGCGTGTGACTCTATCTCCTCGCACCCCAGCCTCGTCTATGCAGCAAGAGACCAGGGACTTCACCAAAGTTGGCCCCATAGGCCGGGCCCTCCGTGCCCCCCCCCACGTATGGAACACAAAGCCATGATGTTTTTAAGCAGAACCAGCACACGCAAGCTCCTCTTCCCTCTGGTGTTTTAGAACTATAAAGGAGGTGAAGGGGGAAGAGATGACTGAGATCTCTCGCGCCGTAGTCTTGGGGTGAAAGGTTGCCCACTGCTCTCAGAGAACCCTATTTAAGTCAGGGATATTGGCTCCACTCTTGGACAAGTGCCCAACTTGAAAAACTAATACTGAACACAACCACACAACAAGCGATCGACAAGAGACCAGGTTGCAGTCAATGACTGCAGAGGTGTCTGAGCTCTAATGCAGGTGACAGTGGCACTTAATTCTGAGGAAATGGGAGAGATACTGCTAAATGTGAAATGGGGGTCTGTAATCAGAAAGATCCTTAGAACTGGGATGCCATTCAATCCCTCTTCTCCCTTGCCCCCTCTCCCTGTGGGGCAGTCATCAAGAGGTCATCAGTTTTATTCAAAGTTGGCGTTTGCAGCTGGAGACTCCCCTGGTATGGAGTAGGGGCTCTCTGTGGACAATCTGCTTGGGCTCCAGTTCTTTCCCCTCTGCATCAGGTCTCTGGGTATCTCCTCTCTCTCCCTAGGACCCCTTACCTCCATGATGGGGGAAGGGACAGGAAACAGCTCACAGCCCAAGAAGTGGCCAGACTTAGTTCAGCCATGACTGGAGCCGGCTTGGCCTGGGGCTCACCCACTCCCCTGGGTCGGCTGCCCAGGCCATCAGCAGCTGGGCTCCACATAGTTCCCGGGGAAGAATCCAGTCCCCTCTGAGCTGACGCCCTCACACCAGCCGTCGGAGAAGCGTCGGGTGACGCAGATTACAGTGCCCTCAGAGAAGGAGAGCTCGTTGTCCTTCTGGCGAGTGTATGGGTACAGTGTCACCACTGCAGGGCAGGAGGAGAGGGTGCCATGAGATATGCTTCCTGTATCCTTCCCCCATGGGGATGCAGAGGCCCAAACACTGAACTCTAGGGGTCACCTAGGGGAGAAGGCTGCTGAGGAGGACTTCCAAGCCTTCAGGTCCCCTCCTCATTTTAAAGTTAAATACCAGGCCAGCTGCTTTCTTCCCAGTTAGGTTCTAAGCTCAGTACAACGGGAAAAGTGTGTGAGTGTTGTGTGTGTGGGAGGGGTAATGAATTCACACCTTTATAGCGGTAGGGAAAAATGCCTCTTGTGTAGTAGAGTGGGGGTGAGGCTAACCGGAAGGCGGGATTTGGTGCTTTGCAGACCCAGGAGTCAGGTACCTTTCTCCAAGTATATGGCAGGAACCCAGCTGGGCTCATCTGATCCAAAGCCTGGCGGGGGCGGAGGTGGCAGTCCCAATTCATCTCCATCCAGGGGCGGAGGCGGGGGCAGGTCCAGGGGCGGGGGCAACTCTGTGCCTGAGAGAGAAAGCGGAAAGCCTGCGAGTGTGGCGCAGAGACCTCCCCCCGTTAACTCGTCTCCGGAAATTTCGCTGCTGGAGAGAAAATTCCCATCCTCCAGCCCTCACCCCTCCCGGTCCTCCCACAGGGCCTTTAGCGCTTAGCAGGTGTTCAGTAAACACTGAAAGATTGAGGAGTCTAAGTTAGATGCCACGTGTTAGCTGGGTCGTCTTCGAACAAGTCACTTAACCTCTCAGCCTCAGCTGGTTTATCTGTTACACGAGAGCGTACAGATCCTCCTAGTATTAAGTTTAGCGGAGAAAATCGATGAGAAGCTCTGAACACCTCGGATTCCCCTCCCGTCTGTCGGCTCTCCTAAGACCAAGCGTTCACTGAGGCGGGCCGGTTCAGATCCAAGATGGGTGGGGTAGGAGGCACGTCCGGAGGTGAAAAAGCTACCCCCGGGTCAGAAGGGAGGGGGCGGGGCTATTTACCTGGCGGGGGCGGGGACAGCTCCTCCAGCGGAGGGGGCAGCAGGAAGAACTCGTCCGCGGCTGGTGGAGGGGGCGGGACCGTGGATCCGGGGAACTGAGCGGAAGGGGATGCTGCCTGCCCCTTGGACGTGAAGACCCCACCGGGTCCTTCAGTGCTGCTGAAGGCCAGAGACAGCGGGGCTCGGCTCCGTTGCAGGACTTCTTTAACAGCCTCCAAGCCTAAGCTCCGCCCCCGACTCTGCCCTAATTCTGCACCTGTGACTCGAAGTCCTCTCAACCCCTGTAGTCACTCTGACAACCCTCAGGAGGCTCCTCTCAGAAACCACCGCCCGCCCACCCACCCACTTGAACTTGTAAGGCTCACCCTGCCGAGGCGAGGGAAGAGGCGGATGAGGCAGCAGAGAGCTTGCCATCGGGCACCATGGGGAGCTGCACCGGCTCGGGGATCCGCGGGGTTCTCCTGGGGGACAGGAAACAGGGCAAGCAGAGTTTGGGTGAGAGGAGGAGTGGGCGGCTGTCAGAGGAGGAAATTTGGTGCCGGGTATAAACACGGCATAGGAGCACAAGGCGCCGGGGTGGGAGGCGAGGGTGGAAGAGCGGAGTTTCAGGATGGAGCGGGGCAGGGCCAGGCTGATTTGGATCGTGATGAGGCCTCACCCCAGCGTGGTGGAGGCGGGTGTGGCAGGCGCCTTGATGCTCTTTCGAGACAGGGTCCCGGTTCTCGATAGCTGCGTGCTCAGGTCCTGCGAGGGTGCAGGGTGTGGGGCTGGCATCTGGTGGAGGGGGCAATCCCCACTCTCATCCCAGAGAGGAAATGGGGGAGGGAGAACATGGGCACAGCAAGTTCCCCCTTCCTCTTCCCAGGCCCCTCTCCCACCCCTCCCCCAACCCCATCCCCCTCTTGTCATGGCCTGGGCCTTGGACCTCAATTCTGCTGAAGGGCGACAGCCACTTCCTCTGTGTAGCCGCAGCAGCTGAGTGGGCCTATCACCCCCTTCCCTCCCCCGACACCATCTCAAAGCCAGGAAGCCTGGGCCCTGGCTTGGTAGTCCCTAACTTTGAGTAGACCCCAATCCCAGAAGAAGCTGAGGAAGGAGGTGGGCAAAAGAAAGGACACATCACACTTATAAGTGTCCCAGCTGTCATTTTTGCAGACCTGTGGAATTGGCTTTGAGGAGTTCAGGGCAAAGAGGATCAGGACACTTGGAGGGAAGTATACAAATGTCAGGGTGTAAACCCAAATGCAAGACGGCACTCTGTTACCAGGGGGTTTGTTTGTCCAAGGCTGAGTACATGGGAAATGATATTCTGTGTTCACTATACTTCACTAGGGACAAGACAAAAGGGACCTGGGCAGAAACACAACAAATTTAAGTTGAAGGTATGGTGGATCATGCCTTTTATCCCAGCATTTTGAGAGGCAGAGGTGAGAGGATCACTTGAAGCCATGAGTTCGTGATCAGCCTCGGTAACATAGCCAGGCACTGTCTCAAAATAAAAAAAATAATAATAATAAAATCAAGTTGGACAATAGAAAGAACTTACTGGTGGGGAGGAAACCTGGTGACTGAAGGGGACAGTGTAGTTTCCCCTTTTGAGGGGACTGGTATGTTAGGGAGATCAAGGGGGTCATTTAGATATGGAGCCCCTGATCTGGAATGTCAGACTGTGCACACAGGAATTGACGAATGGTGTGTGTGTGTGTGTGTATGCCCCCTCCTACCTTGCAGGAGGAGATGGGCTGAGAAGAAAATGCCAGAGTCATGCCCCCCTCTCTCTACCATGTCCCCTTTGTGTGATTGTATTGCTGCCTCTTTCTACCAAGAGCAATTCTGGGGTGACTTCTCAAGTGCAGTGACCTCAAACCCCAGACAGAGGAAGTTGCTGTTTTCATGTGGCTAAGGAGCCATTCTCATGCACACCCCCTGACAGTCTCCCTTCCCCCTCTTCCCCTTCCCACACAGCCAGCACCACAGGGACTGGGTGTGGGCTCAGGATCTCACACTCAGCAGGTCATCTGAGTACAGGGTAAAGACCAGTTATGGAGGGAGGGGGTCATAGAGGGATTATCAAATTGGAGGAGAAGGGGTCCACATAATGGTTTTCGGGAGTGAGGAAAGAAAGGGGCTGTAAGTTGAACTAGGAAGAGAGAAAGGGTCCACAAGGCCAGAGAGGATGGGTTGTTGGGAAAGAGCAGAGCCCCTCTCTCTACCTTGATGCCATGGCCAATGTTATCCAGGCAGCCAAAGTTGAGGGGCTTCCTGTAATAGGGTGTGAGTGGGGGCAGACTCTCAGGGCCGATGATCTTCTGGCCAGGGGGCAGCCGCTGAAGAGTGGCTAAGGTGCCAATCTCCCTTCGGGCCACCTTCTCCATATGTATGTTCACCATCTGCATGACAAGGTTTGAGGTGACAGTGGATGGTCTGTGTCCAGCACCCTTCCCCCTGAGGGAGGAAGAGTTTAGGGTCTC